TTACTTCGCTCTGATGATGTCCGTCATATGATGGACGAAAGCTTAGCACGTTTTCACCGGAATCGAAGGAAACAGCGTCAGCATGAATCTTCCAGTAAAGCCAATCGACAGCATATCTTGTTTATCCATAATACCCAGTTTATGACCTACTATGCCATAGTCTCTTGTGTGCTATCCCACAAACGTTGTGGTTCAACACTGAACCTAATCGAACTAAGCAGTACCACAACCTTTGTGGGTTAGCACTCAAGAGAATAACAAGTCATAGTCTTGGTATTACGGATAGAAACGGGATAGACGCGGCGGAGACCAGAGTTATTTGGCTAACAGTGAGCCTGTTTTACCATAGACGTGGTCCATCTAGCAAAGGCTCGACCATAAAACTTACTCAGAGGCTTTAGACTCGAATTAGTCATCCAGACGCAGTTAATGGGTGATAACGCCTCGTGGAGCATGGATGGGGTGGCAGGGCTCGAGTGAAATACTCGAACCCGGGTGATAGCAGAAAAATCCTACGGGGCAAGAGAAAGACTGTGGTAGGACCTAGAGAAGGAGGACGGCGTAAAAATATGGCAGACTCTGATCAACATTCCCAGCACAAGGGTTTAGAAGGTGAGAACGACAGCGAGAAGTGTGAAGGGTTTTCATGAATGCCGCTCAGAGAAGCACAACACACTACAGCAAAATAAGCACTGTAAAATTGTAACAGTGAAGGTGTGATAGGAAGATATAGGAAATGTGAATAGCCAAGGGCAGAAGGAAAGATACCATAACTGTTTAGCACACGTTTGGTCAAAGGATCGGCTTCACTTGTCTATTTGACAAGTTGTTATGTAGTGCTAATAAAGGCGAGACTCATTGACGATGCTGGCGAAGCGTCCACGGTCCTACTCTGAAAATGATCATGCATATAATGGACTCAGGAATAGGTGTGTTTCTCTAAGTCTTCCTACCAATATGAGCAAGTTGTGAAAACAAGGTCAAACAATCTCTATACAACGAAAGGAGACTGCGACCACACAAAAGGCCACACGATCTTGGTCTTCATATCTTCGATATTTATCTTTGCTGAGCTTTTTCTATCATGTATTGACAGAAATCATCTCTGCTGGCAAGCGGTTTTTACTTAAAATTCAGTAAATACACATATACATTAATAGCAGGCTTTCTTAAAGAATGATCATTTGCTCTGACGACGTGTGCTACAAAATGAGAACTCAAAGATAACTATCGATGTTAAGGGATGATGTGCAAATCCAAAAGTATTCTACTAAGGTAATCTTTTCTAGAATTCCTGTATTGCCAAGAAGCCAAAGTATTTTTGCATAAAGAATAAAAAATTAATTAACATACAGATCAATCTCCTCCCCATTCAAGTCTACTGCTTCTTCGTCAGACGCCTCTCATAGATGACTGCACTTCTTGCAATATAATTACTCTTATTTATTTTCACCTGAAAACCTATTCTTAACGTTAATACCCACCGCCCTTTCCAGTGTGCTGAGGATCCGGAGACGCGAGAGCTGGTCCGTCAGTATGGGGGCCTTGCACCTCTTATCAATCTTCTCAGTCACCAGGAGAACAAGGAGCTACTAGCCGCTGCCACTGGTGCAATTTGGAAATGTGCTGTTTCACCGGAAAACGTAAAGCAATTTCAACAATTGGGCGCCATTGATAAGTTGGTCGGTCTGCTTAACGACCAACCAGAAGAGGTAGGTAGTGATATATTTTGTTTTCTTTGTAAAGGCCAGGAGATATAAATAATATTTGCTTAATGAGGTCAGCATAACTATACGTACAAAAATAGACCAGACAGTATTCCATAAGGTTAACTATATCGATAGAGGTTTATAATTAGTTGAATAAGATAGACAAAAAATAAAAATGCCTATAAACAGTGATTAAAACCCTGATTTCTACTTATCTCAGAGTAAAAAGCCGATGGAAGAATGGGGACTATAAAAAACAGTAAGGACGATGAAGTATTTAAAAAAGTGGATATGCCTACCTTCCTGCGAACTAACTCAAAAGCTTCGGCCAATATTGAGGAAACGGAATATTCGGGTGGCCATGAAAGAAAGATTAACACTTTTCACAAGTCTACAAACGTAACACGAAAGGGTAGACAAATTGGATTGTTCAGGAAACTGTGAACAGAAATATATTGGCGAACTAGGGAAAAAATCAAAACACGAAGCAAGGGATATCAAAAGCTCTGCAGGAAAATGGATACCGAAATATCAGAACTAGCGAAACACATCGCACAGACTGGACACGAGATCAATTGGAAGGCACCAGAAAGAAGAACCCCATATTGTGACAACACAAGGAACCGGAATATAAGGGAGGCAATTGACATACTTAGGGAGAAAAATCTAATGAACAGAAGATTGGAGAAAGGTAGAGTTAGCAATAACTTTGCCTACTGCCTAATCCAACTCTGGGAAAAGAAGAATAGAGCAAGACCAGCAAAAATGAGACGTCTGGATTAAGGATCTACCGCTAACCGGTGGAAAAGGGATCGCGATATAGAAAGTGGAAGACAGGGGTTTTTGACAATAAAGCGAAGACGTTGTCAGTGGGTGATGTCTATTTCGAATAAACCAGTACAACTTTGGGGGACAAGCAGTTAGGGAGTTGGCAGACGGATAAACAAACCATCATGGAAATTTGGCGGTATGCCCCAAATTCACTAGAAATCTACTTGAAACGCCGCAGGCCACCAGAGATAGAGGTATACAGTTTGCCCAAATAGCATGGGTTTAATCAAGGAGAGGACCCGTGATGGTAAGGCCTGATATCTACAAGCATGGCCATCATAGCTTAGGCGTTCTGCTCAGTGAGGCTGCAGTGTACATGCTTCTAATGCTTTGAGAAATAGCGACTGGAGTGAAATGCACACACAGCCTGGAACGGAGGGAAATCGGTCAACCAGAACGGATCTACGAGAGAATGAAGGGATCCGGATTGGGTCTCCAAGTCGGATAAGCCGATAGAAAGAGACGGGTCGGGGTAAATAGCAAGTGTTATGGAGCCACACTAGATTTGTCACAAAAGAGCACACATTTTGACGAGTGGAATGTAAACAAGTGAGAAGTTGTGATAGGGCGGCATTGGGATTAGAGTAAAAAGAGTAGATAGATAGGCCAGAACAGAAAGAGGAGTGATAGTGTAACCGTTTTCGGCAGAACGATTATCGAGGTATTGACTTCACTTGTCTCTTTGACGAGTTCGTAGCCTGGTGCGGAGAATGGCAACACTCACTGATGCTGCTGACTACGATGAGAATGTATCAAGTCTACTGTCTACTGTCTGATGCTGGGAATAATGACAACTACTATGGCAGACGACTTCGGACTAGGTGCGTTCTACTAAGTCGCCCTGACAGCAAGACCATGTTGTATATTTGGTTAAGCTTTATTATATTAGCATAAAGACATTTGTGTAACTTTGTTTTTATTTCAAGGTAACGGACAAATAAACTCACCAGTATCACCTCTGCACCATATGATTCTATTCAAAAACAGTAGACCTTCATGACCTATTATTGCCAAAAAGAAGGATTGAAATGCTCCTTACTAAATAAGGCTTAGCTTGATTTGATAATGAAATTTGTGATTATAGCAAATTCGAGAAAAATATAAACCCTTTATAATGTTTAGGAATTTTTTCTATCCAAACTA